GTATCTAGAGTTATATAATAGTTATATATAATAAAGCTAGAGAAAGCTATACTTTAGGAAATTTAAGATATTAAGCCCTATTAGGCCGAGCTATAAGCAAAGAACTATAAATATTTAAGGGACCTTAGCTCGAGACTTCCTTTTCTTCTTAGCTTAGTTTTCTTAATAAATAGCTCTCCTATAAGTACCTTATCTATAGGCTTTCTTTATAGGTCTATAATAATATCTTTAGACTTTTTAGAAATACTTTCTTTTAAACTTTTTAAAAAAAAGACTAACTTTTATTTAGATTTCTTTAAACTTTAATATCTTTTTTTCTTTTCTAATACCTCTTATATTTTTAGGTTCTTTAAAAGTATTCTTTCTTGAACTTCTAAAAAAGAAACTAATTTCTATTTAGATTTCTCTAAACTTTAATATTTTCTTTTCTCTTTTAATATTTATAAAACTTTAAGCTATTATTAAATATTTCTATTCTTTATCTTAAAATATATATTAATTTATTTTTATAGGAAATACTTCTTTTTTTTTTCTAATATCGACTTTTTTAATATATATTTTTTATTTTTAGGCTATTTAGATATTTTTTTATTTATTTTTATAAAATATATATTAATTTCTTTTTTAATTTCTTTTACTTTATTTTTTCTTTAATATTATTATATATATATCTAGTTAATACTAGTTTTTATAACTTATAATTAGGCTTTCTATTTATTAAATATTTAAATATTTTATTTTATTTTTATTTTATTATAAATTAGAACTTAAATAGTATTTATTTTAAATATTTATATTTTTAGATATATAAGATTTTTATAGATTTTTTAGAATTATAAACTAGTCTATTTTAGTTTAAAAAAGCTTTTTTAAAAATATTTTAGAAATTATAGTATTTATTATAATTCTTTCTAAAAATTAATATAATATAAATAATTCTGGTTTATTTTTTTTTTATAAAATAAATTATTATTTTAAATTTATATAAAAGTTCTAATTATTTCTTATTTCTATTAAATTAAATATAAAAAATAATAAATATCTTTAGGCTAAATTATAATATTAGTTAAATACTAAAGCTTCTTATATTTTATAAAATATTATTTATAGCTCGAGATATATTATATTTAATAGGGCTTCTATATCTAATTATTTTATATTATAATAAAATATTTTAGTATTATAATTAGAGAAATTCTATTTTATAATTTTATTTATTATTTATAAATTTTCTAGCTAATAAGTTTTAGCTAATAGCTAAAAAACTTATTAGTTATTTTATTTAAAGCTTTTAAAAGCAGGAAATTATTCTAATAAAGACTTTATATTAAAAATAGATTTAATTAATTAATTTAAATAAAGAATTTATAATAGAAATCTTTATATATAAATAATTTTATATAATAAACTCAAGTTTTTATTTCTAATTATATAAGTTATAATATATAATAAACTTAAAATTTTTTATTTATTAGAACTTGAATTATTTTTTAAAAAAAATTAGTAAACTTTTAAATAAACTTATTAAGGCCTTAGTTTTTAAAAATATTAGTTTAGCTTTTTTATTTCTTTTTTAAATAATAATTTAGCTTTCAGAAATTATATATAAATATTAGAATAAATAAGGAAATATATTATATATATATTTTAGATAAATTAGAATAAAATCTATAAAATTCCTATAATAATATTAAATCTATAATACTAGCTAATAAAAACTTTAATAACCTTAATAAAACTTGAATTATAAACCTAGTTTTTAGATTTCTCGCTTAACTTAAAAATTAAATAATTTATAATATATTATTTATTATAGAATATATTATACTTTTTTCCTAAAAAATACTAGATATTAGTAATAATCCGGAAGCCTTAAAGTCCTTAAAACTCTTTATAAGTTTCGGGCTTTAGAGCTTTTTTATAACTAGCTAATTATATAAAATTATATAATTATATAAATCTAATATTAAAGTTTAATTAATAAATAATTATTTAATTTCTAAAAAGTTTATATTTATTTAAAAAATTTAAGCTTTATATCTTTCTTTAATTAGCCCGAGCCTTTACTAGAATTTCGTTATAAAATAGCTTCTTTTTATTCTTTCTTTTATTATTTATAACTATTATTAATAGTTTAATTATCTTATAAATTTTTATTTTTATCTTTGTTTTTTATTGTTTTTTAAGCTTTTTAGGGAATTATTATATTAAGAGAAATAGAATAGAAATAGAACTTAATAAAAGAAAAGATAAAAGAGTAATTAAATATAGCTTTTTAAATAGTAATAAAATATTAGAGAAATTAATCTTAAAAAATATATACTTAATTAGAGAGCTTATTAGTAATATCTTTTTTTAATAGGATTTTAGTATTTTTAAAACCTTTAATAGCTTTAAAAATTAGTTTTTTAAAGTAATAATATTCTCGATTTCTTAAAATATATTAGAATTCTATTTCCTAAAATTATTTAATATCTAATTATAAAATTATTTCTATAATCTAGTAATAGCCTTTAATTTCTTTTATATTATAATTTTCTTTTTTCTCTTTTTTCTCTATATTATATTAGTTTCTAATATCTTTTCTATTAATATTATATTTAAAACTCTTATATTTATAATTTTATTCTTATTTTTTTTGAAATCTTTTTATAATTCTTATAAATACTAGCTATTTTAATTAGTTTTTTATTTATAGCTTAAGATAATAAAATTATTATAAATATTATAGTAATTAAATTTACTAACTTTTAAATAATATACTAAAAATTAGTAATTTATTTCCTTATTTTAGCTTAATTTTACTATATTCGAATTTGAGATTTAATAATAACCTTAATCTTATTATTTATTTTATTAATAACTTTAAAAATAGCCTTAATATTAGTAATATTCTAGAAAATTATAATAGTTAAAGAAGCTATATTACTAGAAATAGTTAGTTAATTTATAAAGATTATAAGAAATAATAATATTTATATTTAAGCTTTTTCTATTTCTTTTTTTCTTTGTAATATTATAATAGAAAATTAGCTAATAATAATTTTAAAATTAAATAAAAAAAGATTATATTTTCTTTATAAGAATATAATATTCTAGTAATTAAAGGCATTAATTTATATTAGCTATAAGATTTCTAGAAACTTAATTTTATTAATTAAATATTCTATTTTCTAATAAGTTTTATTTATAAAATATATATAATATAATTATATTAGAAGCCCGAAAACACTTATATTATAAGGTTAAAAGATATATATTAAATAAGCTAAAAAGTAAAATAAAATAATCTTTTTTTATAGAATCTTATAATTTCTAGAATTATATAAAAATTATAACTATTAAAAAGAAATATCTTATATTCTTTTTTTTTTACTTTTAATATTTCTGGCTTAAATATTCTTTGAAATTATTTAATATAAAGCTTATTATTTATTTAATCTTTTTCAGAAATATAAATATAGCTATTTAATAATATTTTAACTTAATTCTTATAGAAAACTTTAGCCTTAAAAATAATAAAATAATTAAGAACTTATTTATTTAATAATATATATTTAATTAATAATATATATTTAATTAATAATATATATTTAATTAATAATATATATTTAATTTAATAATATATATTTAATTAATAATATATATTTAATTAATAAAATTTACTCTTAATTATCTTATTATATAATTTTCGGCTTTTTCGTTTTCCTTAAATAAATAATCTATATTTTAGCTAAAAATCTCTATTATTATCTCCTTTTTATTTATATTATTTATATTATTATTATATATATTATACTTTGCTTTTTTTATTTAATAAAGCTCGAAATATCTCGTAATTTATTCTAGATCTTTTATAATAACTCGATCTTTATTAAGTAATAGAATAATTCGAAATTTGAGATCTAGATAATAATTAAGAAAACCTTAATACTAGTTAATTCTAAGAGAATTCGTAATTAAATCTTTGCCTTATATCTTTAGTAATTTAATTACTATTTTCTGAATCTAATAAACTATTAATAGCTATTTCTATATTTCTAATTTCATAATATATTATTAGATTATTGTCTTTTTAATTAAGGATAGCTACTATTATACTATTATAACCTCTATCTTTAGTTTTGCTTTCTTGATTTAATCTCGAAATATTTCCTAATAAACTTCATGCTTTCTAGTAACTTAATATATTAATTTCTTCTTGTTTTAGTCAAGATAATAGTTATAGGCTATTTAAAGCCTTATTATTTCAGGAACCTTATTAGAATTATTCTTATATTTAGAATAGTAATTTTTCTTAACAGGTATTTTGGCAAGTAGCAAAAGATTTAGAAATTAATTTATATAGTAGTAAAGTACATTATAGTAGTTGAATAAGCATTATTTAAGTAATAGTTAATTTTTTCTTCTTGATTTTTAATAGAATATATATATAAAAAAACCTTACCTTTTACTACCTTACGGGCGATTCTAGCCGTACTACAAGGTTAAAATAAATATAAAGTTATCAGGATATCGAAAATACTATGAGACATTATTATTTAATAGGATTTGTAATTATAATAAAGGGTTAATTAAAAATCGATTTTTTTGGGGTAGGCGGATGGGGGTTTGGGCGGTTGGCTAGTGGATACTTCTAGCGAGTGCGTCATAAGTAAAGCCGCAAGTGATTGATCATAAATGCATCGCACTCTTAGCCTCAATACAGTAGAGTTCGAAATCGGCTTCAGTTCGGAACACTGAATGATTTTATTTTTGACCCATATTTTATGCGCACTAACCCCTATGGCTAGTGGTATCGCAAACCCCCTGCCTTCGCTTATCTCTCGGATGCCCAGTTGGAGCTGGGATTGGAATAAGCAACACTGTCTAGCATGCCACTGCGATGAAAGTCCTGTAAAGTTATATTACGGGTCCAGTTGCTGTTTAACCGCATCGGTCCTTTTGACATGCGAAATATTCGTAAACGACATATTCAACAAGGTATACGAGAGATGAAACGGAGATTCATTGCTAGCATCTGCGCACGAATTTGCAGTATAGAAGTCTCGATCGAGCTTTACAATAGTCGATTTGCCCTGGCAAGACTACTCAAGAGTTATAACTCTTCGGTCTAGCTCCGTTAACCAGTCGATCCCTGTAGATGATAATGAAAGGTACCCCATCCTTATATACGTATCCTGTGCTTCCGATGGCATTCGTTTCGATCGTAATATCAACCCTATACCGTACCTACGTGAGGCAAAGCGCGAGCTATGATTATCTAGAAGCAGCAGACAGCAGTACTTTCCCAACGTATCTTCAGTTGGTTGGAGATCAAATGTGCTACCCCCGATTACGGCTCCTGTCTCATTCAGCGTAGCGAACCCGCCTGCTTTGGTTGCTCTCACCCATCCCTCATCATCTGGTGATACTGCCAATAGGTTATTGTCCTGATCATGATATGTGCCATTTTTGGTGACTTCGCAGCCCCTCACGTAGGCTAGAAGGTTCAGCCCCCACGGCGGCTTAAGGGCATCTGAAGGTTGGTTCGGGGCATTATTCAATACGGCCATCTCAAAGCAAACGGAACAACCATTGAGGTCATCTTGCATAAATCTTATAGGTCCCTCGAGCGAAGCCCAGCACCAAGACGGAGCACGAGGAAGTGCGGTAGGCCTGCAAGTGAAGAAAGACTTATCTCTCGGTTGTACAATCCAGAAAAGCTCAAGAGCAAGATCATCGAAAAAAGTTCCGTGAAGGTACTCTGACCCTGTTTCTCTTTGTACGTGGTTGGCGATGCCGAGGATAGTGTAGAGCCTGTCGGACTCGCGGGTGATGCCAGATTTTGAGGCTTGGAAGATGAGGTCTCGCCAAGCAAGAAAGACCTTAGCTTTGAGAGATGAGCTGTTCCGGTCAAGTGACAAGTCCTTCAAGAAATTCATAATCTTCCGAGCTGTGTTCTTCTGCGCGTCCTCCTGTCTTCCGCCTTCAGAGGCTCGCAGCTCTCTACATTCCCATATTATTTGATCTTCAGCAAAGCTGAGAAGTCGTGGAGCTAGTATCCGTTCTTGCCAGACCCAGGCTCGGTTGTTGAGAGCACATTTGTTAAGAATAGTGAAATTAGTTTTGGGACTTCGAAAGTAGATGAAGCCAGTTCCTGGATCCGCAATGGTCTTCCGGTAGCTGACACGCACGCTCTTAGTATCTCTTTGTCTTAGAAATCCTGAGAAGCCATCATCAGATGTTATAGCAGAAATGACGATTGTTGCGCGGCCGTAGACGTCTCCCATAAGGGCTGACTCTCGCTCCCAATCCTCTCGGCTGTCTTGCAGAATGCACAAGGAATCAATCCATAAGTACGAAAGCCCAAGTCTACGAGTCACGGTAATTGCATCTCGGAAGAGCTGACTTAAGCTGTCGACAGCAATGCCACTCATCCGGCTTTCGAGTAATGCATTGGTTGTACACTCCATTTTCTCTTGTTTCCCCCAGCGATGGCTTAATGCTGCATACTGTCCTTTGCTTCCGTTGGATATCGAGAGCCGAATCATATCGATGTCTGATGTGCCGAGATCTAGGACTCTTGTGGGCAGATCTGGTTGTGTGTTGTGTTGTTGAGAAGGGTCGTCAACCGATGAGATGGGTGAGCAACGACGATGGAAACGGAGGCAAGCTTGCATCCATGATAACATCAGGTCAAAATTCGATGCGCAGCCAGAGCTCTTATTAATAGGTCTGCCAGTAATATCGCCAGACCGCGCCGCTGCACTATCTTCGCTTTATCAGATCAAAACGCGGCATGTATCGGGGATTGTAGAACTGACCTTTATCGGCAAATATCTCCAGCCAAACATGTAAGCCTTGGGCATTGGAGATACGAACTCCAGAGAGCTGCCGGCAATTAGAGGTCGAGCTCGAATCCGCCGTGAATTGTTGGAATGCGCTCAATTTGAGCCGCTGCGAAGCATTTTTCCTAGCAATTTGATCAGGTTTCTGATCGAACTTAGGATCAAACTCGGGGAAGATTCCATCCCGTTCTGCAACTTCGCTGATCAACCGGCAGAGCTCGCAACTTTTTGCACTCTCTAATAGCGCAGGATAACTGGGTTGATGGTCATAACCTAGTGGTTCTTTCGTGTCAAGCGCCTTCTCGTCCTGTACCAGTGCCTGGGTGTGCATGGCCTCTACCTCTTTAGACAGGCGCTGAATGTTGTACAGAATGTTGTCAGTTGTGTCTCTCGTTAACCGTTGCGATGGGTCCAATGGTTCCGACTCGCGTTGTGCTGGACGCTCGGTGTCTATATCTATTCGATCGATTGTGATGTTCCTGCAGAAAGAGCAAAGGACCATGCTGGAGCTTGAGCGTTCAATTGCACCTATGATTACATCAGTAGCAGTAGAGCTTTTTGGCAGTGGGGTTGTTTACTGTGGAGCGCGCCAGCGTGTTCCTTGCCCTTCTCTTGTTCTTGCACCGTTTGCCGGAAAAGCTCCTCTGCATCCGTGTCCTTCTGCTGCTCGCTAAGCGTGAGTGCCAGCCAGTGTTTACTGTGTAGCGTGTCAATGTGTTCCTTGCCTAGCAATTTCTCTCGTCCTTGCACCGCTTGTAAGAAAAGCTCCTCTACTTCTTTGTGTTTCTGCTGCTGGCTAAGTGTATGTGCAAGCCAGTGCTTGCTGCTTAGCGTGGTAATGTGTTCTTTGCCTAGTACTTTCTCTTGTCCTTGTACTACTTGCTGGAAAAGCTCCTCTGCTTTTGTGTACTTCTGCTGCCGGTAAAGTGTGAGTGCCAGCCAGTATTTGCTGTCTAGTGTATCAATATGTTCTTTGCCTAGTACTTTCTCTTGTCCTTGCACTACTTGCTGGAAAAGCTCCTCTGTTTCTGTGTGCTTTTGCTGCGAGTAAAGCGTATGTGCTAACCAGTGTTTGGTATAAAGCGTATCAACGTGTTCTTTGCCTAAAGCCTCCTCTCGCCCTTGTACTACTTGCTGGAAAAGCTCCTTTGCTTCTACATACTTTCGCTGCCGATAAAGTGCGTGTGATAGCCAGTGTTTACTATCTAGCGTATCAATGTGTTTCTTGCCTAGTACATTCTCTCGTCCTTGTACTATCTCCCTAAAAAGCTCCTCTGCTTCTGTGTACTTTTGTTCCCGGTAAAGTGTAAGTGCCAGCCAGTGTTTGCTATAGAGCGTATTAAGGTGTTCCTTGCCGAGCACCTTCTCTTGTCCTTGCACTGTCGGCCTGAAGAGCTCTTCTGCTTCTGCATACTTTTGCTGCCAGTAAAGCGTAAGTGCTAGCCCTTGTTTGCCATAGAGCGTGTTAACGTGTTCTTTGCCTAGTACCTTCTCTTGTCCATATACGACTTGTCGGAAAAGCTCCTCCGCTTTTGTATATTTTTGTTGCTGGTAAACCATATATGCAAGCCAGTGTTTACTACTTAGCGTGCCAATGTGTTCCTTGCCTATTACCTTCTCTCGTCCTTGCACTACTTGCTGGAAAAGCTCTTCTGCTTCTATATACTTCTGCTGCCGGTAAAGTATAATTGCTAGTTTGTGTTTACTATCTAGCGTGTCAATGTGTTCCTTGTCCAGCATCTTGCTATGTTCTTCTAGTGCTTGGCTCGGGAGCACTTCCGCTTTCTCTACCTTTTCTGGAGGTGAAGCTTGCATCCCAGCTCGTGGTCCTCCCTCCCTGAGGTCGTCTCTTTGCGACATAAAGAAAACCTATGATGGTAAGTGAACTGAAAACCTTTCAAGGCTTTGGAATCCTACGTGAAGGACAGACTCGGAGAAAGGATGCGGCAGGGACGGTGGCCACAACACCGCTTGAGGCGTTTTTGACAAGCTTGAACTAATACTAGCGCACTACCAAGTTTGACCACGGTTGTGCTAGCGAGGCTAGGTATTACGTTTTGGCGCAATTCTTCCCAGGATGAATGATGCGGTTGAAACTGCAGCTTGAAGAAAATGCTTACTAAGGCTGTGCATGATGTGTTGCACTTTTTGGGTGGAGGTTGACGACTTGATTTAGAACTGCAGGCGGGGTAAGCCCTCTATATATACACCCAGTATATAAACTACAGCTGTACGGCGTACACTGTATCACAGAGTTCCAACATGATGAAATGTAAGGCTCTATCACGTGATCTTCTCACATGAATTGAAGCTGCTGGCGTAGCGTCGGAGGACATATATAGGCGAGGAGCAATCCTCAGGCAGGAGTTTAGCTCTCTAACACGTGATGCAACAGAAGCAATGGCCGATGGCCGGTGACGCGATTACATCCTCAGGCAGAAGTCCTCACTTCAAAGTCAGGATATGCAAGGGTCTAGAATTAGACTAGCCGTGAAGGGTTAATACCACATAAAATGTGGGTCAAAAATAAAATCACAGAGTGTTTGGAACTGAAGCCGATTTCGAACTTTACTGTATCAGACAAACATTAAACATCGAATTTTCCCCAGATTGATTGACGATTTTCAGGGAACCCTCGCTTAACACCCTGGTAAAAGATTAGCGTCGGCCTTAAGTAGTTCCGCAGTGCGCTAGGCCATTTTTAGAGGAAGCGGCGGACGACCTCGTTATTGACCCATTTGCTCCATCCGCGTGGATATCACCAGAACACGATCGACTTCACGGCCTCAGCAGTCGAACCTACCAGCAAGGGTAGGGCATCACCACAGTAAACTGCTACGCGTCGCGTTCTACCCCTTATTCAGCCTCTCTCAATGCGACCAACCCCTCACCCAGTCTGCGTCCTTCCACCTCACCCTTAGGTCTCCAACGCGCCGAACGCTCAAGCATACTCCCGACTGCGCGCACATCACTGGAGGTGAATCACTGGCCATGACGACGCCTATGCCAGGCACGCCGCGGCGGCCTGCATCCAGCAGAGTCCGTTCAAGCCGACCCAAGTCAGTTGGCGCCCCCCATTCTGAAAAATCCACCCCTGCAGACATCTCATCCGAACCCCCTCTAAAGAAGCGAAGATATATCCCAGGTGGCCCAGGTGGTGGAGGTAGATATGTGGATGAAGATGGAACAGAAATACCAGTAGGCGGCACCGGCCCTGGAGGTTATAATTATGTGGGGCCTCGAGGTCGAATTGGTCGACAAAATGCTGCCATGGGCCTGGTACCGCAGGTCTATCCTCGACGAGATAGGAGTACTCGCACACGGACAGTCTTGCCTCGCTCACAGCAACCCCCAATGAGGTTCAGTTCTGCTGCTCAGGCCGCAGCCGTGGTTCAGAGTGATGGATACAAGCCACGAGAGGAGCGCGCATGGGAAGAGTTCCATCCAAATTTGGACATTGACGCTGCTCTTCGAGCGTTTAGTTCTCACGAGGTTGAAGGAATCCCAGAGCCAAGGCCCGTCACGCCTGCTGGCGCACCACAATCTGCAGATGGATCCATGAATGGAGGGCTGACCCCGAACGGTCTCGAAGGCCCAGGGGCGAAGAGCGAAGGTGTTCTCACACCATCTGGTTCACTCAATGGTGAACTGTTGACTATTAGCATCCCTGGAACTCCCGGCGGGGGCAAGAGAAGACCTGGTCGGCCTCCAAAGGATCCTGTCGCGTTCTTTGCAGCTCGAGCAGCAAAGTTGGGCAAGGGTTTAATTATAGGCACTCCGGAAGCCCCCAAGCTCCTTCCACCTGTGATTAATATCAACACGAAAGAAAAACTGACCTTACCACAACCATCTTACCGAAAGACCGACACATTAGCACGGTTCGAGGATAAAGCACTTGGACTTGTCCGGTACGTTGATAAATCTATGGCCAATGTGGGATATCAGGAGAGCGATATATATGTCCGGCCTGAGGGAGCTCTCATCAAGACTAAGGACATTCACATTGACGACGATATCGATGTTGGACCTGTTTTAAAGATAGAGGGTGAAATTATAGGCGCATCTGGTATCGGCAGAGATGCTGTTGGTCGTGTCGAATACGATATGGACGAACAGGATGACAAGTGGTTGGAGGCTTACAATGCGGAACGGAAGACCTCACCTTCGGAGTCCATCACACGAGAAATATTTGAAATCACCATTACCAGGATCGAAAAGGAATGGCATGCGCTCGAGAAGAGAATCCCGAAGCCAAATCCCAAGCCACCGCAAACGCATCGGCCTAGATCAAGCTCTGCTGCTGCTGTTAATGGGGAGCCTCAAGTTGGTGAAGAACAGGACAGTAAGTGTGCTATATGCGATGATGGGGACTGTGAAAACACAAATGCTATCGTGTTCTGCGATGGCTGCGATTTGGCTGTCCATCAGGAGTGTTATGGTGTTCCGTTCATTCCTGAAGGCCAGTGGTTGTGTCGGAAATGCCAACTTATTGGTCGCGGTATTCCGGTAAGTCTATCTAGCTTCTTTCTGCTCTTCCCACGTCGGGTGGCTAATCATCGATGCAGACTTGCATCTTCTGTCCGAACACAGATGGGGCTTTTAAACAAACCAACGCATCTAAGTGGGCTCATCTCCTCTGTGCAATGTGGATCCCTGAAGTCTCACTTGGTAACCATACATTCATGGAGCCGGTCATGGATGTTGAAAAGGTACCAAAGACTCGGTGGAAGCTAACTTGTTATCTCTGCAACCAACGAATGGGTGCTTGCATCCAATGCGGAAACAAAGCCTGCTATCAGGCATTCCACGTTACTTGCGCAAGAAGAGCCCGTCTTTTCCTGAAGATGAAAAATAGCCACGGGACACTGGCTGTCCTCGACGGCACCACTGTCTTGAAGGCTTTCTGCGATAGGCATTGCCCGTCAGACTACGCAAGGGACAACGACGTGGCCCGAGCGACTCGGAATGCACGCATTTTCTACAAAAGGACTATGCGTGGACGACTATGGGCGGACAGCCAAGCTTCTGCATTGGCAATGGCTGCCACACATCGCCATGCCATCACCGAGCATCAGCCCGACGAGTCTCAACTTACAGGTGTCAAGGTGGCCTTGACCTTCGCCGATGCAAAGAAGAAAGGCAATCAACCTCAAAAGCCGATATGGAAACTTCCTTCCGGTGCCCCCGTCGTTCCTTTAGCCGTATATAATAAGGTTCTCCTTTCCATGGCGCGGTTTACTATTTTCAAGCGCAAAGAATATTTTGCTGATGCCTGTCGATACTGGACACTCAAGCGAGAGGCTCGGCGGGGGGCCGCACTCCTCAAGCGACTTCAACTTTCTATGGAGACTTTCTCTTCTATGGAGCTGACTCGGCGAAATTGGTATGGCATGGGTGCTGCCGGTAGACCGAGACTTAGCAGAAGGATCGAGTTCGCCGAGACACTCGTCCAAGATTTGGAAAAACTGAAATCACTCTCTGAGGAGATCAAGAAACGAGAACAAGAGAAACTGTGGGCCGTGGAATTGGAAGAGGATGTTGTTGAGACAGTTTACTTCCCTGTCGCGAGATTTCTGCCTGTAGTTGTTGAGAAGGCTTTGACGTAAGTTACTCAGTCTTGTATCATTATGGCGTTACTGACCATGAACAGTCTCGACATCAAAGCCATCTTCACCGATGGTCTACTCAGACTCCAGAAAAGGGTTCAAGACCGCTTCTACGCGAAGGCTTTGGATTTTACGCATGATTTGAGTGATCTCTTCCGAACAGGCATAAATACCGAGCCTCAGCCGAAACCCGAGACCGCCGTGGCAAAAGAGCTTGAGAAATCTTCCCCATCTAAGAAGACCGTTCTCGATGTGAGAGGTCGCAGAAGTCTTGGGAAGAGGATTCTCAAGGCCGTCCAGCCCCAACTTGAGGCGGCAGTTAGGGCTGAAGCTGACATTAGCGGCCAACCGGCCGAGAAGCAACTGAAGGAATTCGAGCAACTGATTGAATCTGCGTTACAGACAGGACCAGATTCAATTTCCATGGGCGGATCCGTCGGAGATGCTGAGGGCGATCGCGAACATGATGTTGAGATGACTGATGCTGTTCAGCCTCCCAAAACGAACGGCCACCGACGAACTCGCTCTAAAGTGATATCAGAAGCTGCTGATGTTGCCATGGAAGGCGCGCCGGCCGAAGATGACGAGGATGCTAAAATTGCTGTTGGCGAGGATACCATCGAGGCCCTCGCCGAAGTCAACGGCAATGTATCACAAACGAAGACAAGCAACGTCAGCGGCAACAAAAACGCGACTACACCCCCTGATACGAATGGCTACTCATCAGCCCCTGAAAACATGCAGCCTTCTCCTCCGACGCCGCCGGTATCGAATCGTGATATCGGCAGTGACCACATTGATTTTCTAGCGAACGGAGGCATACCTTGGTACCTAAAAGATTTCCAACCCGAAGGCACGAGCTTGTTACAAGGAAACGAGGGTGGGGCCAGCTTGAACGATATTGGTATGAATGAGGATGCGATCGCCAATGGAGATTTCGGAGACATCGTTGCAGCAGCAGTGATGTCTAACCCGCCGAAAAGCAAGAAAGGAAAGGCCAAGAAGAAAGCTGGAGGTCGGAGGAGATGAAGACCCTTTTGCCATATTGTATTTGATATTGTATTGATAGATTCTTCATTCGCTCCACTTTAGGGCTTTGCGATAGGGGAGTCTCGAGTCTTGGAGTTCCAGTGGGTTCTATGACGGGAGGGAGTTTGCTGAGGGTCTCGAGGCATGATGCATAATATTTCGAAGGAATTGAATTTTTTGAGACCAGAGCTTAATTCTTTCCAAACCTACCTTCAATCTCCTCCATGAACACAAGATCGAACCTCCCCTCTTCCCCAACGCCCCCCAACCATGCCATAATGTTTGTCACGTTTCCGTCCCGCCTTTCCCTGCCGACTCGCCCTCTCTTTGGTGGAGAAACTCACACCCGCGCTGCCGAGCATCGGAACAATACCACACGATTGTTTCTCGCGACGCCTCTACAGACGGATAATACCCCTGGCAGAATCGGCGACCCCACCGCTGGGCTGCTCCTCAGAGGGCCGAACGCTCGGAAGCTCGCTAGAGAGGGGAAAGTGGGGTTTGCCTTTGCCTGCCAAATGCCATGCAGCCGGATTTTGATTGCTTGAATGATTGTGGATATCATCATCCGATCGTGGAGATGAGATGGGAGGGGCACGAGGGGCTTTTATTTTCTCCACTCGTTCCTTGCCTTTCTTCGGTTCCTTTTCTATCTTCCTCTCTTTCCTTTCAATCCGCCTTTCCAATTTACAGAGCTGCGATTGACTAGCAGTTATTTTACTTGATTGGAGAATAGTTTGTGGTAATTGAGAAGACAAAGACAAAATGGTTTACCCAGATACATTCAAGGGCTTCCAGATCGAGGACCCGAAACACTGGACTGAGTTCAAGCTGAACGAGCTCAAGCCCAAGCCGTTCGGTGACTACGATGTCGATGTCAAGATCCAGGCTTGTGGGGTTTGCGCGAGTGATTTGCATACTATTTCTGGAGGGTGGGGGGAGCAGCATTTCCCTCTGTGTGTTGGGCATGGTATGTCTCCTCTGCAGTGCTTTATTTTCGATTGATCGAAGTGAGGGCAAGAGTGGGGGATCTGACATGAAAAACAGAAATTGTTGGAACGGCGCTCCGTGTTGGACCGAAAGTCACACTCATCAAGCCTGGGGAGAGAGTCGGTGTTGGCGCGCAGAGCTACTCGTGTCTGAAGTGCAAGCAGTGCAAGAATGACAATGAGACGTACTGTGTGCATCAGCTCGATACTTACGGTGCCGTGTGGCCCGATACGGGAATCGTGAGCCAAGGAGGATATTCTACCCACGTTAGGACTCATGAACACTGGTATGAGCCCCTCTTCTTCCTCTCAAATCTGAAGGTGGGGTTGTAGGCTGACTTGAATTCAATGAAAGGGTTTTCCCCATCCCCGCCGGCCTCGCAACCAACAAAGCAGCACCTATGCTCTGCGCAGGCCTCACAGCCTACAGCCCTCTCGTGCGTAACGGCGCCGGGCCAGGAAAGAAAGTCGGCATCGTCGGCATGGGCGGGATCGGACACTTCGGGCTGCTGTTCTCGAAGGCGCTTGGCGCTGAGACGTGGGTCATCTCTCGCTCGCACTCGAAGGAGGCGGATGCGAAGAAGATGGGCGCTGATGGCTTCCTTGCTACGGCGGACAAGGACTGGAATGTACCGCACAAGATGACGTTCGATCTTATTATCAATACGGCGAGCTCGACGGAGAACTTTGACCTTGCTGCGTATTTGAGTCTGTTGGATGTGCATGGCAGGTGGATTAGTGTGGGCTTGCCGGAGGGCAGTGGGCAGGAGGTTAGGGCGCAGGATTTCCTAAGCAATGGCTGCTTGATTGGGGCGAGTCATTTGGGAAGTCGGAAGGAGGTGCTGGCGATGTTGAAGCTGGCGGAGGAGAAGGGCATTGAGAGTTGGGTTGAGGAGGTCCCGATTAGTGCTGAGGGACTGAAGACTGCGTTGACGAGGCTGCATAATAACGATGTGAGGTATCGGTTTACGTTGACGGATTATGACAAGTGCTTTGGATCGGATTAGGGTTGAGGATCCGGGGAAGGTGCGGGGTTGAGCTGGGGAGTGATGCATGGAGTTGCAGGTCGGGCCGGTTGAGTGTGGGGAGAAAAGCATAGTCTGAATGCGAGCCGTTGACCATGTGAACCTGAAGTTTTTTCAACATACCTTTGAAGCTTATGGTCAAGTTGTTGTCTTCGTCACTTGGACGGACGCAAGGAACGGACCGAAAGGATGATGTAACTTCGACTTTAGCTCATTCGAGACGTTCTTTCTTCTATCATCTGATCTCAAGAAAAGAACTAAACACATCAACGTTGCCTCCACGATGCAAGTCAGAATTAGGAGTGATCTCCGAGACCGGGGGATCCCCAGACTTATAGAGTCGGTCCTATTCGAAGTGTGGTGCTTCCAGCGGGCCTCACCGCGATGCTAAGGTAAGGCAGAACGAATCTCGAGGTGACAACAAAAGATTGTAGAAGGCTCGAGAGGTGTCTGCTTGTGAAGTCCAATTCTGGCAAGTCAAAACATGAGTTGGAGTACGAAATGTCCAGACCCTTGACTTGATCTCCTTTATTGGCTGAGCCTCAGTCCATGTGAATCTAGACTTCTGCACAAGGAGAGCCAGTACAAGGAAGAGTTATGCAGCGGGAGTAAGATAATTGCACTATAGAGATGTGTATTTATCCCTTGTTATTTGTAGGAGTGCTCTGAGTCTTCTGGAATATCAGCGATACGCTCGCGGAGGCATCTCTTTCTTCCTGGGTAGTTCGCTCAACTTGCCGGAAATGGATCAAATCTTCCCAACAACATAAAAATAGGACTCATAACAGGGGATATCCACAGAAGCAAAGAGAAGCCTTTGAACGGTTTTAGCACTAAGGAGCCCAAAATTATTCTATGCGCTTTGCTCAGCTCTGATAAAAGCAACCTGCAGGGGCTGAGACCGTCGGTCATGTGACTACAATGGCTCCCCGGAGAGAGGGAGGCACAAGCACACTGGGCACAACACAGCTCGACAGACTTCTGGAGAAATTCTTTTTTTTATGACCCTTGATCTTAATACCGTGGGGAAATGGGTTCGTCAGAAGTTAAAACCCTGCATCTTTTTTCATCCCAAGTTTAAAGATCTGACACCTGCAACGTCTCATGTGGTGGACCCTTGCAGATGTTTCGAAAACTACATTGTGCATGCCCAATCGAAGCGTGTCGAGCCAAGCTCCGTGAAACGAAACAAGCACAAGAGCTTGAACACCTGTCGATGAGGCATGAGAATCCGCTCCGTGGCTCGAGAATGGTACTGAACATTCAAGAAGCACAACAACGTGGAGACTGCACGACCGGCCACGATAGCGCGGGTACATTGTCACCGGGACACAAGAAGGCCCGAAGCTCTTCGAGGCCATGAGCTTTGAGGAATCAAATCCGAGAACGATGATACGTTGCAGCACCTGATCCATCCGAATCGTGATGATCTCGCCGCTTCCCCTGATCTTCTGATTGTCGAGATTCTCTGCCCCGGATCGCAAGACCGCAGCAGCAGCCACGTCGTGCATTGACGCGACCCTGAACCTTCCCTCGACCCGACCCAACCCTTTGGCATCTGATGTGGCTGACCGTGCCTGCAGACAGTGCAGAGGGCGAGATGCTGGGCGATCACGGCAGCCTTGCTCCTTGCAGTTAGGGCATCGCGCCACCCAGGCACGGGTAAATCTCCGAGGCATGACATGTTGTCCAACCACCAGCGGTGCCACAGCCTTTGGCCCAAGCGAGAAGTTTCAACTTCACTTGAAGACCTTCACGCAGCGGCACTAAACACAACGAACAACAAAGGCCCAGGGCATCGCATCGCATCTCGTAGCCTCCAATACCAGCGGTCCCACGCCCGCGGTGAGAGTGACAGGCCCCGTTCCCTCGTCGGCCGGCTACTCAGATCCAATCCCTGCGACGGCGTCCGACGTGCTTTGATGATCCAGGGGACTCTTAATGCTACATCCGTGGTCGCGGACAAACGACGCTGCTCCATCTTCCAATACTAGGGGACATCGAATCAACTCCCCCAGGGCCCGGCTCCCGCTGTTTCGATTCGACCCATACTGACTGCAGGTACCACCTGATACTGGTCAGACGTTGGCCCGCTACCAGCGCGCAAGCCATTCACAGTATTGGAACATTCCTGGCCGTGGCTGTGATGCCTCTCGTTGGCCATGGTTCCCCAGTCGCCGACAATCCCCATCATGAGTCTAAATGTGATCTGCTTGGGCCACATGGCTCTGGGAGCCAGCGGGTCTTTGCCGAAAATGCTGAGTTGCGGCCAGGCATGCAGGAGGAGCTTGACCACGACACAGACGATCCTGATTTTATAAGTACCGAGTGCCACACCTCCAAGAATAACATTTCCCCGTCCTTACCAAGGTCTCCGTCTGGTAGCCATCGCTCTCTTTTGAATCACCAGCGTCGCCATTCACTTCAAGAACATAAATTCGTGAGTATTACTATTGTTGTCAGCCTCGCTCCCCCTCGCGCTGCTAGCCTCGCTTGATTGTTGACCCCAATTCACAAGCACAACTAAGTAGCCTCGTTATTATTGTATCACTGACAATACCAACAATGCGCGCAACCAATTAAACCCCCTCCACTTTCTTGAGATTGCTTTTCTTCCTGTCGCTCGTTCAGATCGGAAAAATTTCCCTCGACGAACTTTCAAGAAACAAAACACAAGCGTTCCTTCCCTATCAAACTCCTTTGTTTACTCTCGAAGACTCGAGCTACTCCTACCTTTGATACATACTGACAAGAATACCGTGCAGTCAAAATCACACTCCTTTACGTCATCTTTCAGCAGCTGGTACTACTTTACGATGGCTTCCTTTTCAATTCTGACCCTCTTCGTTGCTCTGCGACTCCTCCTCCTCGTCTCTGGCGCACCGTCTCCGAGACCCGTCCCTGCTACTGATGCTGCCGCGACATCTAGCTATTGGCTTGCATCTATCACCAGACAGGGCACGGCTGCTTATGGTACCGCTGGATATCAAATATTCCGAAATGTGAAGGACTTCGGCGCAGCTGGAGATGGAAGCACCGATGATACTGCCGCAATCAATGCAGCAATTACTGCTGGTTCTCGTTGCGGTCAAGGTTGCGACTCTTCGACAACTACTCCAGCCCTGATCTATTTCCCTCCCGGCACCTACTCCATCAGCAAGCCGCTCATCCAACTTTACTATACACAATTTGTTGGCGATGCGGTCAGCGTCCCGACTATCAAGGGCACAGCAGGCTTCCAGGGCATCGCTTTGATCGACTCGGATCCTTATGCTGATGGCGGTATCAATTGGTACACCAACCAAGTGGGTTTTTCTCCTGCTCGAGTCCTGAATAATCGAGCTAATCCGTGAATAGAACAACTTCTTCCGACAGATTCGCAACTTTATCATTGACACCACTGCCATGCCAGTCAGCGCTGGTACTGGTATTCATTGGCAAGTTGCTCAGGCTACTAGTCTGCAAAACATTGTGTTCAACATGAGAACTGATGGAGGAACTTCAAATGCCCAGCAGGTAAGCGACATCTCCTAAATTTGCCGGAACAGTCTTTACGTTCCAGGTTCTGCAATAACCGAGACCTTTCTGACCAATTTGCAGGGTATCTTTATGGACAATGGTTCTGGCGGTTTCATGACTGATTTGACCTTCAACGGAGGCAAATACGGTGCATTCTTTGGAAATCAGCAGTTCACTACCAGAAATCTGACCTTCAATAACTGCCAAACTGCTGTGTTCATGAACTGGAACTGGGTAAGCCTACCCTTCGTCTTGTTTTCAAGATTCACGTAGATCTGACATTGAATTATAGGCATGGACTCTTTCTGGTCTTTCCATTAACAACTGTGGTATTGGTGTTGATATGGCCAACGGAGGAGCATCAAGCCAGACTGTTGGCTCTATTCTGCTTGTTGACAGCAAAATCTCCAACACACCCATCGGCGTTTCAACCGTCTACTCCACGAACGAAGGCTCAACCAACGGAACCCTTGTCATCGATAATGTCGATTTCTCTACGAACTGCCCAGTCGCTGTATCGAACGCTGCTTCTAAGGCAACTATTCTCGGTGGCAACGCAAAGATTGCGTCCTGGACTCAAGGACGCCAATACGCTGGCGCAAATGCTGGTACCGCTGGTCAAGGTCCACAGACTGCTCCAACAAAGCCTGCTTCCCTTTTGAACTCTGCAGGCAATGTCTTCACCCGATCAAAACCTCAGTATGATGGTGTGCCCGTCTCATCTTTTAAGAGTGTCAAGGCAGCAGGTGCCAAGGGTGACGGTGTCACGGATGATACCGCGGCTATCCAAGCTGTCTTAAACGCTGCTGGCCCTACGGATGTTGTTTACTTCGATCATGGCGCATATGTCATCACCAGCACTGTCAAGGTTCCCAAGAACATTCGAATCACTGGCGAAATCTGGCCACTCATCATGGCAGGAGGATCAACTTCTTTCAAGGATCAAGCAAATCCACAACCAGTTTTCCAAGTTGGCCAGCCAGGCGATACAGGAGCCGTCGAAATTTCAGACCTCATTTTTGAGACCCTTGGCCCTCAGCCTGGTGCCATTCTTGTTGAGTGGAATGTTGCCGAGACATCACAAGGTGCAGCTGGCATGTGGGATGTCCATTTCCGAATTGGAGGCTCCGCTGGAACTCAACTTCAGTCAGACAAATGCTCCAAGAACCCCACCGTCATTGCTCCTGCTAACGCTGCCTGCGAGGGCGCGTTTCTCCTCTTGCATGTCACTTCACAGGCCACTATCTATCTGGAGAATAACTGGTTCTGGGTTGCTGATCACGAGCTCGATCTTGGTGACCACAACCAAATCAACATCTTCAATGGACGCGGCGTCCTCATCGAATCTGCCAAGGGCCCAGTATGGCTGTATGGAACTAGCTCAGAGCATAGCGTTCTGTACAACTACCAGATCGCCAACGCGACCAACGTTTACATGGGTTTGATTCAAACAGAGACTCCTTACTTCCAGAGCAACCCCGACGCCTCAACTCCATTTGCTGCCAACGCGAAATACTCTGACCCAACCTTCTCTGGCTCAGCCAGCGTCAACAAGGCTTGGGGTCTCCGTGTTGTTGACTCGCAGGATGTCTTCGTCTATGGTGCTGGTCTTTACAGCTTCTTCGATAACTACGGCCAGACCTGCCTTACGGCCGAGAGTTGCCAAACCAACATGGTCTCTCTCGAGAACTCTGGTGCAGTCTACCTGTATGGATTGTCCACCAAGGCCGCAACCAACATGGTAACCGTGAACGGTGCCAGTGGCGCTTTGGATAGTGACAACCGCAACAACTTCTGTGCCACGGTCGCGCTGTTCTCGCAGGCTGGCACAGCAGCAGGTACACCGATTGTCTCGAAGTGTGTATAAAGAGATACATCTTTCTTTGAGTTTTTGAGATACCCACCTTCTTGTACATAGTTTTTGATGGCATGATTGGAGTAAAAGGAGCATACACGGACCGAAACCCGTTCTCGGGATCTGGAGATCTGCACAAGAAGTTGTATAGAAACAACGAGATATCTGATCTGTATTGAAGATTTGAAAGTTAGAGTGAATATGCTGCATAAAGTGAACTTGACATATCTGCACGAAAAAGGAGTTCATCATAAAAAAGTGGGGGTAACACGTGATCAAACCGTTGCCTTAGCGATTTGGGCTCCGCGATAAATCCAAAGAGATCCATCGCGACTTAAACACCGAAACTTGAAATCCGCGAACATAACCTCGCCGCTCTTCAGTGTTCTGAACACCTGTGCACGAATCCCCGCAGAAAAGATATAAACGCTCTCGATCAGTGCTTCCGTCCATACATCGCTCCAAGATGGGAGAATCAAGGTGCGTGGCGGCGCATGATCAAACATAATTGGGAAGTTTGGCATTCTGACCTCGCGATCTCTGCAGACAAGAGTTGGTTGCATGGCTCAACAACCTGCTCCAACTAAATATAACCAAGGTTGAGCAATGCGGAACTGGGTAAGTTTGCTTGCGGCCCCGCGGCAGTCTTCTCCTCGACTACCCCTTGCCAGCCAGGCTGACAAGGCGCAGTGCGGCTCTCTGCCAGGTCTTCGACAGCATTTACCTTGATGTCCCGATGGCCCGAGTCAAATTTAATGTCAATACCGAATACGCATACCTGCAGAATTTTAAGATCCTGCAAAGTTTGTACCCCTTAGTTATCTGCTGAGCCCTACAAGACAAATACTGACAGGATCGTCCAACAGCCTGCTTCACACGCCATGGCATCGATCGACCGGTTAATGTTGAGCAACTCATCAAGTGTAAGATGCAAGACAACCTCGAATTCCTTCAATGGAGCAAGCGGTATTGGGACCAATACTTCCCGGGCGGCGATTATGATGCAGTTGCTCGACGACGGGGTTCCGGCGCTCCTCCCCCAGCATCGAACATGGCACCAAGGACATCTGCCGGTGCAGCTAGAAGAGGCACGACACCTACAACCGGTGGAAGAGTCTCAAAAGCGGGAGTTGGTGGTGGTCCAGCGTCTGCAGCTCTACAACAAGAGAACAACACACTAAAGGAGACAGTACAAGGGCTTGAGCGCGAGCGAGATTTCTACTTCAGCAAGCTCCGCGACATCGAGCTATTGGTTCAACAAGCATGCGAAGAAGACCCCGAGATCGAGAAGCAGGAAGATGGGTTGATCAAGCACATTCAGACAATTCTGTACTCGACGGAGGACGGCTTCGAGATCCCGGCCGAGGCTGAGGGTCTGGATGACCAGGAGACATTCTAGATGGGCTTATGATGATGACTTGATGGATCGATGACTACCGCAGAGGATGATGACTCTTTGGTTTTTGGGAATTATACAAGCATACGCCAGGCATGAATAATGGACAGACAGAAACCCGACGAATTCATTTGGCGTGTCTTCATAGGTAGCAAATCTGGAAGCAATAGATTTCAGATTCTCCTGACGAATACATTACACACCTTCATGATTATATATGTATTGAGATTCTTTTCTTTGTCCCTCGTGAGGGACATCAAAAGGGGTCATAGCCAGCCCCACAAGGTTACTTTTTTGACAACGGCGCACGTCCCGTTATCGCCAAGGCTGTTCCTCGGAATCGTCATCCTTGTCACGAGCTCCAAGGCAAAAGCAACCTCAGTGATCCAAGAACAACGTCAGCAACACTTCAACCCCAACCTAACCACTACATCTACGCCTCTACAGACCCACAAATCTATCAAAGCATCGAGAACAAAAGCAATGGCACCCTCCCTCGAACTCTCCATCCCCTCCACCAGCCTCTCAACAGCCGACTCCTCAAAACCCTATACCCTCTACAATATCACTCTCTGCTTGCCTCTCCGCACCTTCGTCGTGCAAAAGCGCTACTCTGACTTCGTGTCCCTCCACCAATCCCTCTCCTCCATCATCCCCTCTCCCCCGCCAGCCCCCTTACCAGCGAAATCCTGGTTCAAATCCACAGCCTCCTCGCCCGAACTGACAGAAGAGCGACGGAAAGGACTCGAAGCGTATCTCCGCGCCATCGCCGAGAACCCCGACCGGCGATGGCGGGAGACGTCGGCCTGGCGGTCGTTCTTAAACCTGCCCAGCACCGGGGGCGCGAGCAGTGCGGGTTCTACGCGGAAGGAGCTGGTCGAGGCGAATCAGAGGTTAGGCGGTAATGCGGGACTGCTTGCCAGTGATCCGGGCGTGTGGCTGGATCTGCATCGCGAGATGAAGGGGCAGCTGCATGATGCGAGACTGTTTCTTGGGAGGAGGGATGGGGCGACGACGGCGCAGGGGCAGTATGAGGCGGGTGCGAATGCGAAAAGGTGTCTTGTGAAGGCTGCGGGACTTATTGGGAATCTAGAGGAGGGGCTGAAGATTTTAGGTGAAGGGGAGAAGAGGGGGGAGGGTGGGAGTAGAATTGGTGCTGGGGAGTTGAGACGGAGGAGGGATTTACTTGGTAGTGCGAAGGTCGAGAGGGAGGGGCTGGAGAAGCTGGCTGTTAGTCTTGCGGTCAAGGGGCAGAACGGGAAGGGTGAGAATGGAGGGGCGGGGGCGACGGCACAGGATAAGAATGCGTTGTTTGGACCCGGGGTGAGCAGGCCGAGTGGGAGGGTTCTGGGGGCGCCGGTGCCGGAAACGGATAAGACGAGGCAGTTGGATAATGAGGGCGTGGTTCAGCTGCAGCGGCAGTTGATGCAGGATCAGGATCTGGATGTCGAGGAGCTAGCGAAGATTGTGAGGAGGCAGAGGGAGATGGGGCTGGCGATTCATGGGGAGTTGGAGCTGCAGAATGAGATGTTGGATAGGGTGGACAAGGATGTGGATAGAGTGAAAGGGAAGATTGATATTGCGAAGAAGAGGGTTAGCAAGATTTCGTGAGAAGTGTGTAAGATTGGTCTTTGGATTCTGCATCAGCGTGGCGTTCGTCCGGCTGGGGTTATGTTGTAAATTGTAGCTCTTTTAATAATCAGAACATGTTCGTCGCCGTAGCAGCGTAGTCACGCCTGCGTTTGTGCTTCATATCTGCTGTTGGCTTCTGCGAATCATTTTGGGCCCGTTTTGTGCACTTGCAGTCCATTGAATCATGAAATCTTGTAATTTGAACGCTCTGATATGACTAGAATTGCTGTAAACATTACCCCTGAATCAGTCATGCTCGCGATCTGAAGACCTAGCTGCTGCTTGCTTTGTGATCTCCATGGGGCCTTGCCTGCCTGCTTTTGGTGCCTTGAAAACAACGGCTGGGTGTAAGCTGATATGAGTTTGAGGACTGCCGCTGAACCGCTGTTTGATAGCGCGAACTCAAGACCCAACTCGTAGTTGTGATTATTCCGAGCCTATGCCATCCATGCATATACCGACCGAGTTCATGAAACAATCTAGCACGCTGAGATCCTGAATTCAGAAAATGCCCCTGAGTTACAGATGCCCAGGATGTGAAGGCGTAACTAAGTGCTATCATTGAGTCTCCTCGCTGCTCTTGAGTCGGCGCAGCCAGGCCTCACTCTCCCTCAGCGGAATATCTCCTTCCAGCATTTTTCCAACTTCTCGCTCGGGTCTCATATACCCAAATGAGCAATTCTCGCTTCAACCAGCAACCTCAGTACACGTTCGGCGGTGTGTAGTTGGGAACATCTCCCCTAAAAAGGAGTGACCCTAATATCTGAGGGGGTGTAATGTGTCCGAGACGGTTCCTTAAAAGAAATGATATTCCTAGCTCATTCTCACCGGTGTTTCCCCAGAGCCCGGGCTTGCATTGAGATGTTCTACGGCAATTGATCCCCCGCTCCAAGGTATCAAGTTCCCCGCCCCCCTTGCTAAAAGCTAAAAAAAAAATCTGTAAAGTATGAGATTTGAAGGGGGTTGGTGGGTTTAGATACCTTAAATGAAATAATCGAATTTAATTTATTTTTGTCTTTTTTTTTTTTGGTAGCTCGCCGTCGCCTCGCTTACACACTTGTTCGTTGACATCGTCGCCAGTGTGACGGCGGGATCGAGGCAATGGCCAGGGCTCAAAGATCCAGGAAAATCCCATGTATTGAGAATACTAAGCTAAAGAGAAGAAGGAGAGAGAGAGAAGGAAAGGGGATAAAAGAAGGGAAGTACTAGCTAAAACCACTGAAACGCCGGCTAGCTAGGTGAAACCAGTCATGTGACAGCCATCCCCAGCCAGCGCCGTCACAGCCAGAATTATATCCTCGCTTACCTTCTTCTCAGACAGCAACGATTATTCGCCCCATTACCACCTAGAAAATTGATTGTGGGCTTCTTCTCTCTGGAACCCAGTTAAGTAAACACTGTAACTGCGAGCATGCAACAAACGAGTTCGACAATTAATAACGGCTCGGACTTCACCACACGTTGCTCAGCCTTGTAATCCTAAATCTACCGACTTTCAAACACATGAACCGTTTGTACCCGCAACGTATAGTACAATAATACTTGACCTTAAAAGCAACGTACCCTCGATAGGCAATACAACGCGAGATTAGCCTTCCTTCTCGTTTGAAGAGGTCAGAAAGAAGCTTCCTGAACTCAAGCCGGCTTTGAAGAAGCCTCTCTCGAAGTCCGCTATACATGTGATAAGGGAGTTATGGCTTAACGTGGCGTGGAAGATAGAGCTATGGGAGAGGAGGAAGCTGTGCGAATGAACACACAGAAGCTGGAACATTGAGAAATTGATGACATGGCAGTCGCGCCTTGGCTTCTATAATTGAAATTAAATCACTATATGCTAAGCTTTCCATTATCTAATCTTCTGAAGATATGAATATATAATTATCATTACATGAAAGATATCGGAATCACCTCTAGATTTTAAAGACCGTTAACGCTCCCCATGCACAGCATACATCACGCAGTCGAATACACCAACATCCTCAAACCTGCTCCGCAAAATTCCGTCGAGTTACCTGCACAGAACATACCCTGACAATCCATGATATTCGCCGGCTGAGAAGTGCTCGCCAAAGTATTACCACAGTAACATTCATCACCGTACTCTACACCAGCGTAGCTGTATCCCCGTGACTTACAGTTCGCAACGCAAGATTCGTCTGTGAGGGTCGCGCTGGTGAAAGCGTATGCGGAAAGCCCACGAGTAGCTTTAACGTCGGTATAGCAGCCTTTGAGCCGGTAGGTGCCGACGGTGGCGGGTATTACCGATGGAGTGTAAGGCAAGTTGTAAGTGTAGACGCTCAGACGGCCCGAGCCACCACAGATCTCGGTTGAGTTGCCGGTGCAGGCCATCGTGCAACCTGTTTTGCCAATTGAGGAGTTTCGGAATAAGCCTGTACCGCACCAGCATTCCTGGCCACTGTGAGGGTTGTCAGCATCGATTGCACCAACAGAATGGGTGGACTGAAGGCGAACTTACTATTCTAGACCCGCTACGGGATAGTTCTTGCTGATGCAGTAGGCTTGGCAGGATTCAACGGTCATGGTGCTGCTACCGGTGATAGAAAGGCCGTTGAGAGCTCGGGCGGCCGAGGTGTCGTTAGCACATCCGGTGTAGCTCCATGTGCTTGTCGGTCCGGATTTTATTCCCGTCTGGGTGCTCGTGTTTGTTGATTTTGAGGCTGTGCTGGTGGAAAGGACTGACACTTGAGAGCTTGACGTCGACACTTGAGAGCTTGACATCGATACTTGAGAGCTTGATGTCGACACTTGAGAGCTTGATGCTTGCACAGAACTTGACGATGACAGCGACTTAACAGAGTTACTGAGCATGTACCTAGAAACTCTCGAGTCAGCACGGGCTTTACGGAGAAATCAACACACCGGACTCTCCAGGAACGATGAGACGGGAAAGTCTTGAGATATTCCACAACTCGTGAATCATCCAAACGAGGAGAAAGCAAGCTCAACGTTACACGTACAGTTCAATTCTGTTCCCAGCGCCGCAATACTCAGTCGGATCCCCAGGACAAATGAGGTTACAATCAGTGATGGTGGTGTTAAGTGATGCAGCGTTGAGGGTGTTGCCACAGTAGCACTACACGAAACGTTAAAAGATACTCTTTCAGAGAAATGAGGAAACGTACCTCTCCCCAGTATTCGACGCCCATGTATGTGTATCCAGCGCAGATTCCAGCGCAAGTCTCCAATGTCATAGTCTGGTAGTTAATAACTTGCACCGCGGTAAGAGCACGAGCTGTCTGAGAGTCGGTGTAGCATCCTTGGAAGGAATACGCTCCAACTTTCGGCTTCAATTCTGGTGTTGGGGACGCGGAAGTAGAGCTAGTACTGCTAAAGGAAATTTTGCTGGAAGTGCTTTGGGTACTAATAGAGCCTGTAGAAGTCAGGGATTGTGACGAAATGGTTGTTAGTGTCGGAGAGCTGGACGATTTTGAGGAGGTCGAGGACACCAAAGAGCTGCTGGAAACGACCGGCTTGAGTTGATGGAGTGAGAGGCCACCTGCACCGCCGCAGGTCTCGGTAGCATTACCGGCGCATGCTGACATCCATGTTAGTACAGTTTGGTGCGGATAAAGATCCAAGCTTGAGGAATACACATACCCATAGAACATCTTCCATCAGTCACAAGAGCCGAGCCGGCTGCGAGGGTGTTACCGCAATAACACCTAGAACGAATTAGCGCCATGACCCTTCGTGGCGTAGGGAGCCAGAAGCGAGCCGGAAGAATGAGACATCCTAACCAGTGCAAATACGGAGCTCTGGGTACGGGGCAAAGAAATGTGTTCCTTACTCATCTGCATACTCGACTCCAAAGTAGCTATATCCTGCACAGAAAGAAGTGCAAAGCTCCACAGTCATGGCAGGGCTAGTAACGACCAGCGAAATCAACGTCCTTGCATTGCCATTGTCGCTCTGGCAGCCAACGTAGGTATATGCAGGTGCCGAGGCGGATGGTGTGGGCGATGGCAAGGCAGATGCTTTGTATAAAGAGAGGCCGCCTGGACCACCGCAGACTTCAGTTGCCTTGCCTGGGCACGCCATATTGCAACGTCCGTCTGTCGCTACAGTGGAAGAAGCCAAAATGGTGTTACCGCAATAACACTCGGTACCTGATGACCTCGGAGTCAGCATTGCGCAATCAGGAGGAAATCAGAGAACGAAACAATGTTTCGGGGGTTCTCTCTTCAGATATGTCTAGAGAGTAGAAATTTCCCAATATTTGGGAGAGGAAATGCGAGTTTAGTGAACGCCACCTACCGTATTCCACTCCGAAATAGGTGTACCCTCTGGCACCACAGAAAGAAGAACAGATCTCGACCGTCATTGCAGTGTGGGTAAAGGATGTTGAGCTCAGCGTTCTGGCATTCGCGCCGGCATCGGTCTGGCAGCCGGCATAGCCATACCCTCCGATAAGAGTACCTGTCGGTGAGGCGGAAGACGTGGTTGCTGACATTGTCGTCGTCGAGCTCTGGCTGGAGGTTGTGGAAAGTTGGCTGGAGGTCGTAGATAGCTGGCTGCTCGCCGTAGAAACCTGGGTACTTGACGACAATTTAGTCGAAGAAGGTGAAGCTGTTGTTGACGACGTTGTACGAAGATAACGGCATAAAGTATCGGGAATACAGGGCATTATTTTATGAAGGCCACTAAATGCCCTGTAAGGTCTTACTTTAATCTCCCTGTAGCTAGTCCTAGTCCCCTGTAAGCCCCTATAAGCTTACTAAAAGTGCCCTGAAGACTTAATATGGGCTTATGCAGCTTGACAGGTACTAAACGCCCCCAAACGCCCATAAATATAGGCGAGTCCACTAATTAGTAGCGAGTAAAGGGGGGGATAATTAGCCCTAATACACACCTCTCCACACATACTTCGTTCTGAATTCTAATTCTAATTAATTAGAAAAACACTTAATACCCTTCGCTTTACTTTAGCTATTATTATAGCTACTTTTAGAGGTTTATTTGATTTTCCTGATTTATTAGATGGCTAATCAGAGCTCTTCTCTCCTCCTGATTCCTCAGATAACAAATGCTCTAACAAGTATACCAAAGATAAAGAGGATATATAGTATAATTTACTATTAGATTCGGACGATTCAGATAATGATTTAGCTAAACCAGCCCTTTTATTACCCGCTTCGTTAACTGCTTTTGTACTTGCTACTCTTAGGCCCAAAGAGTACTTTACTAGTACCAGAATTAAGGCTATTTATATACTTGAGGATAAGAAGTCTTTAGGACAAATTAGAGAGGCTATAGAAGTACCCAGATTAGCTATTTATTAACTTGTAGCTATAGCTAGGAAGCATAGATAGGTAGAGAATAAGAATATACCTTTAAAGGTCTTATATATTCTAAATATACCAAGATCTAGTTAACCTATAATCTCTGCTAAAGTAATCAAGTATATTCTAAAGATCGTTCTCCAGAATTCTACTATAAGAGGCTTTTCTTATATTATAATTATAAAGGAAGTAAAGAAGAGAGGTTATAAGATTATACCTAGAACTATATAGAAAGTTCTTACTTATACAAGCTACTCTTAGTATAAACTAATAGTTAAGCCTGGTTTAAACGAGCTTAATAAAGCAGAGCAATTAGCCTAGTACTTGGAGCGAGAGTATTAGATGCTTAATAACTAGAAAGATATAATTTTTATAGATAAGACTATTATCTAATTAGGTAATATAAGGAGAAAGAGACATATATGAAGATTACCTAAAGAAGCATATAATAAGTATTATATATAGAGGAGGTAGAAAGGATTTTCTAAGTTTATATTTTGGGGGTCTTTCTCCTTTAATAAAAAGAGGCCTTATTATATATAGGAAAAGGAGACTCTATAAGAGAAAAGAGATTATAAAGCTAATCTTAATATAAGGAATTCGTTAATTAAGAAGGCTAATAAAGAGAAGTAGGAGAAGGAGCAGAGGAAGTGGCTAAGGAATTAGAAGAAGGCTTATAATAGGGCTCCTAGAGAAATACGGAAGATATGAAAGCATAACGAGGAGACTAGTACCTTTATTATAAAGAATAGATAAGGAGGGATTAATTAGTATTAATACTAAAAAAGGATATTAATTAAGAAGCTTCTATCCTTTATAAGGAAGTGCTAGAAAGATCGACCAAAGACTATTATATAGGAGGATAATACAGGAGCCCACAAGTTATATTACTAAGGGGAGGTTTATAATTTATAGAAGATTATAAAGATACTTTGGCCAGGGAACTCACCTAATCTCAATATAATTAAGAAGGCCTGGTTCTAGATAAAAAAGGAAACTACTAAGCGGGAACCTACTAGTAATAGGAAGAAGCTAAGAGTAAGGTAAGAGAAATACTAGGAGGACCTCCCTTAGAGCAAGATTCAAGAGTGGATTATAGTAATCCCTGATTATATAAAGGAGATAATACGCTTGGAAGGGGGGAATAAGTATAAAGAGGGACGGAAGAAGGGGCAAGAGAAAGTAGCTATTTATTAGGTAGTTATTTTAATAAATAGAATTGAACTAATCAAAAAACAATCGAAATCAGAGGTTTAGCGAGGTAAGCCACACTTCAGGGGACCCCTACAGGGCTTACAGGGGGCTAGGAACGGCTACAGGGAGATTAAAGTAAGACCTTATAGGGCATTTAGTGGTCTTCATAAAATAATGCCCTATATTCCCGATACTTTATGCCGTTATCTTCGTACTAATCAGAGAGGCGTTATACATATATAGTGAGAGTCGATTGCCAGCTCCACAATATTCAGTATTGTTGCCAGTGCACAACATATAACCTAAAGATAGTTAGCAATTGCTCCTTTGAAAGTGCTCCATGAGAAGATCCTGGAATATTTAGATCTCTCCAGAATACTTACAACCTGTCCAAGGTTCAACCGTAGCGTATCCTAATGTGTTGCCACAGTAGCACTGCACAAAGTGTTAAATGTCGATTCTCCTCTGAAAGGAAAGCTTACTTCTTGCCCATACTCCATTCCAAAGTACGTATACCCAGTGCAATATTTCGCACAAGCCTCAATCGACTCAGCGGCGTTGTTTTGCAGAGTGCGATCAGTCAAGGGCCGTGGATTCGCGGAATCGAGATCTACTTTCATCAGTCTTCTGACCATACATTTCGATCAAGGAGGAACTCACAACACCCCTGATAGCTGTAATTTCCAATTGTAGGTACAAGTGCGGGGCCTTTCCCTGAGGTGCCGATGATCGTACCGTTCGAAGGGAAGTAGCGACTTGAGTCGTAGTAAAGGGATATATAACCACCATTTCCGCCGCAGATCTACCCATATATTAACAAAATGAGACTCTAAAGCACAGAGAAGTGGACTTTACCTGTGTGTTGTCGCCGGCGCATTGATAATTGCACAACGAGTCAGAGACTTTCAGGCTGGGACTCGGAATAACATTTCCCACCCAACATTCAACTTGATACTCGGTCCCTGCGAACACAGCTCCAGCAGCGTATGACTGATTCTGACACAAGCCGTTGGTGTTGACATTAGGGTTCTGATATCCTTTCGCCTCAATGCGGAAATTCACGCTGTCCTGGTAACAGCCAAGGTATTGGTATAATGCATCCCCGTTCGCCTTCATTGGGCCTGCCTTTTTTGATATTACAGTTCCCGTAAAGTTGACAACATGAACACCGAACTTGACATCATTGGTATTCAGTGTCCAGAGCGCAGAATACTGCTTGTTGGGGGAGTTTAGGACAGGTGCTGCCGGCTGGAACAAGATTGTTGCTGTAGAAGATGTGTTCGGCGCGATTGACAGTGCCTCAGTAAATTCCGTGTCGGGGTTCTCAGCGAAGATGACTCCTCCGATCGGAGGTTTCGACTTGTCGACGGTCAGGGCAGAGCCTCCGTGATTGGTAAAGCGGAGCATAACGCTCGTGCTTGCAAAGTCGGAGGAATTGCCCATGTCAATGTTAGTCGTGCAGCCAGCGGTAGGTGATGAGCAGTCAGGGATGGTTGTCCAATTCGTTGGGCTGCTACTGTTGGACTTTTCGAAGAGGGCAATGGGGGGACTTGTAGCGCTTGCAGTCAAGACAGCGAAATTGGAGCCGCCAGTGGAGTATACAACAAAAGTACTGAAATAACTTCCAAGCACCTATGATAATGTCAGTTTGGAAGCACGAAAGGGGATGATGGATGAGAACCGTTGTGTTGAATAACAGATTTACTGTCGTAGCAGCACCTCCTTGAATAATCGTGCCCACAGGCGGAAGGTCCGAGGAGGTGAAATAACCGTTGACATCCAAAACGGCGACTCCTTTGTTGAATGTGACATTGGTGACAGGTGAGTTGGCGCTATTGTTGTATGGTCCGGTAGCAAAGGCATAGCCGGTTATGTTCATGGCATTCTGACCGAGGTTGCTGATGACCAAGGAGCTCACCGAACCCGCATTAGATTGGGCAGAGGGTACAACAAGACCCGGAAAGCTGACTTGTAAGGGGCTCATAGAGAGAATGGGGTTGTTGCTCGAAGCTTTGCCTGTCATGGAAATTGGAACTTGAGTAGAGAACCCAGCCACAGTGTTGTTCGTGAGCAGGTTCAGGACTGCCGTCTGAACGGCTGGGGATGATGTATATTGTGTCAAGTTGAAAACGACCGGGAAGGAGAACGTGCTTCCAGTGGCTAATTTGGTACTTGGAAGACTTGAGTTCTGAGATTGAAACAGGCCTCCGCCGCCGAGAATCATCCCCAGAACTGTGATCGGAGTCTTAACAGTACATGTCATTGTCATACTGGAAGAATTGCCAATCAAAACCGAGCCGAAGTTGAGCGAGTTGCATGTCAGCGGCATCGCGGAAGGGGAACCATAACCCTTTGTAAAGTTAGTGCTGCTTACCACATTCAAAGTGCGAAACTTACATAAACAGCACCGTTATTGCTTGCGAGGTAGTATCGGCCATTGCCAAACGCCGGACGCTGAAACTTGTTGACTGCGGGACTTGCTGGCAGAGTAATGCGGACCATCTTGCCATTCTGAGGAACAGCATAATATGCTCTGAGCCTGTTATTGGGATCACAAACCCATACGATAGCTGTTCCTGCTTGCCCTTGATATGTTGTGATGACTGGCGGGCCCACCCCAGCATGAGCAGGAGCATACTCAGCGGTTTTTGCAGCCAAAGTGAAACTGGGGAGACCAGCGCCCGTAAATCCAAGGCTGTAAACATAAGTTGGAGAATTTGCCGGGTTCAGGTAGAAATATCCTCCCTCAAGTGGGTACGCAGCCCCGGCCTGCCAAATAGGCTCGCCATCTTTATGATTAGCAAAAGATCTTAGCATAATAATTTGAGTTCCTTACTTGGTGGGCGGAATGCTTGAATGACAGCATCTCCGGCAGCAGACCCCATTTTGTACCCGCCCAAGTTGTCTCTGTTCACCACAAAACACACACTATTTTTGCCACAAGCGATAGCAATGCCGGAAACTCCCTTGCCATTGAACACACTCGTATCCGGTAACACGAGACCACCAGATCCGAGATCGACATCCACTTGATCCATGGCAAGGTACGCTGCAGGTTCGAAATAGTCTTGTTGCGTCAAAGCCTTCGTAGTCGGATTGATCGCCAAATTAACGATAGCTTCGCTGAGGGTGTCCAGATGAACTCGCCCTGAGGCTGGGTTGTCTCCGTTATCCCTTGCTTTCAAGCCATTTCCAGTAGTGAAGAATATCCGATCTGAACGATCTGATGCAATGGCGGCACCGCCCATCCAAACGCCTCCTCCACCACCGCCGCCATTCCAAGTGCCGTCCTGAGGCTGGGAGCCAGGGCCGCCCATCGTAGCGTAAGCTGTTAAGATGCTGCCGGATGTGCTCATCCCCACGACCCAACCGGTGTAGTTGTAAAAATCACAGTGGGCTGCAAATCCCGCGTAAATGGCACCATTCACGATACTTAAGCCTGTCCGCTGCATGTGGTTCCCTCCTGTGAAATAGCGAGCGGGGTCGTTATCAGCTGTGTAACTGTCAGCTCAAGCCAAACAATTTGCTAGAATTGATCTACCTGGATGGCCTTGAAGGACGACTGGAAAGCCACGCTTTTCTTGAAGAGTGACCGCATCGATAGCATGGAAACGATAAATGCCATTCTGCCACCCAGAACCTGACTGACTAGCAGACCCATAACTCTTCGCCCAAAAATAGATTGTGTCGGTGGTAGGATCAATCACAGGAGTGCCAGTGATCCCAATAAAGGGGGTAATATCGTAGCACCCGGGAAGGTCAGTGGCCAGAAATGGCACTTCTCCACCAGATGAAAGGTCTCGACTGGCATAAAGGGTACCATTGACGGCATCTAGGGAGTATATCTTATTTTGCATCGAAAACGCAAGAACAACCTGCACTCCTGTGCTGCTGGGAGTATAAACCAGAGGTGTGGCCTGGAACTGTTCCGCAAGACCGTTTGAACTTGCAGGAGCTGTGAATTTCCATAATTGGCCAAAACTTGAAATGCTGTTCGGATTGATGTTGTGATTAGGCAAGTAATTCGATTGTGCGAGGTCTGAAGGAAAAGAAGTTAGCCGCTAAGTTGGCTTTCTTTCATCGGGTGAAAACTGACCGCCGTGCATGATACTGTCCGTTGGATCAAGAGCCCATGCTCGTTGTGAGATGTGATTCAGCAGCAAGCTGAACAAAACTCTTGAGAACTTCATCGTTGCAGAGATTTCCAATGAAGCATGGATTGCCGTAAACAAGTGTGGTGGGACAAAGTGAGCCGGAATGAAAGCCCTCCAGATCTCAACCCGCCCTATGAACCGCAAACGAGTGAAGCGGTATGAAATGGAAAAGGCAAAAACGACAAGCTCTCAATCTACCGCAAAAGAGTGAAGCGGAGTGAGGCTTTGAATTGGATTCTGGAAATGTCGTAGAAGACGCGGACTCAACACTCGCTGCAAGTCCGTTTGGTCTCGAACTATTCGAACATCGAAAATAGAAAGGTCTGAAAAGGGAGTAGGGGTGGACAATTAAATTTAATGGCTAGCCGATTAAATAATAATTTAATTTAATGCTCTTGAGCCGATTAAGCGTTAAATTAAAGTGGGTTCGGAGAAGGCTTGAATCTAGCCGACCAGAGGACTAGAAATTGATGCCCGTGACATAATTCACTCGTCTTGGAGAGCGATTCTTCCTACACATCAGGTTAGATATTAGTGCTTTTATTGACCAGATATTAGTACCGGAGAATATTAATATGAGTAGAAGAGAGGAATAAAAATATATATCTTTAGTCTTTTTTACTCTTCCACATGACTATTCTTTTCATTAAAAATCATAAACTTACGCATAAAATAATGCATATAATAACGCTAAGCCGATTAAATAATAATTAAATCATTAAATTTTTTCCATCCCTAAAAGGGAGCCCTTAGCCCCAAGCTGAAAGTCTAATGGCTTTAGCACAGATATCTTCCAGAATAGGCACATTTGCATCACCATTTCGGACCGAAACAATGATGTGAGGCTTGCGCTGCCTCCCGCTCTCTCGGCCTTCAAGCCTTGGGCCAAGACGTGCTATGCGCTTGTCAAAGCAATCCCATCTGGACGATCTAGAAGTACAGTAAAAACTCGCTATAAGGATAGGGTTTTTGTCGCCAATTCTTAAGGATATACCGAGGTATCCTTATATTAAGGATCACGTGCATAGATATATAAATAGAAATATCACTAGGATTTGAAGATATATACAGAACCTCTCCATTCTAACACCTCACAATGCCCCAATTACCTGTAGATAAGTCAATTACAGCTTGCTGTACCTTACGCTGGTGGATTTGCTTGCTTCCATCGCCGTACGGCACGTCGATCGGCCTCTGCCATCGCTCTATTCCTAATAGGAATGCTAAAAAATAGGGTTGGAACTAAAAAACCACAAAATAGGAATATTAGCACGTGCGCTATCCGATTAAATGACGAGAATAATCCGGAAGTCCGTAATCATTTTGGTGTAAGATTCGCAATTAGAGTGACGAGGTCCCGGAAATGTCGGATATTGGGAGGGGAGTGGCTAGGGTACCGAGGGGTTGTCGGATTTTTCTCCGC